GTGTGTAGACAAATGGTATACAATGTATACTAGTCACTCGCCCTATATACCTCATATATCATCATTTACATACAGGGTATATGTGCCATCGATTGTCAGCACTCATTGGCCAATTTGTCAAGGCAGCAGCTCGACGCTTCTTTTGCTTTTAATTGAAAGCGTTTAGCGCACGTCTAGTCCGCAAGAGCGGGACATAAATCATGGGGGCTCATAAGTAACGGCACATAAATAAAGGCGCAACGAAAGACTCGGATCGGAATGAAATACTTGAGATGCTTAGAGAACTAAATGATAATAGGCACACGAGTAATAAAATGCTGCACGGCTTCTGCCATTCGTAATAAATAGTTGTACATAACTAGGTATTGGACTTGGCTGGAATTCGACTAAGTTTTCACCTATGCAAGTGTTCTATATAGCTAAAAGCTAGGGTCTATCTGTGGCTAAATATACATAAATAAAGAGAATCTCTCTCTGTCTCTTTAACTCTATTATTCTTCGTCTGCTGTCTACATTCCGAAACCAGCCAGAGGGCCAATCTAATGGGTTACGGCCTGTATTTGATGAACGTATTAGGGACTAAGTAATGCGGCACTCACACAGCGATAATGTATCTACGAAATGCAGCATGCACCATTTCATATCGTATATAGAGCTGTTAAAAAGGGTCAAACTACTGTACAAATATTGAAAGTCATCAGCTATGCAGACGATTCGTCTAACGACCCCGACCAAATGCGCGCACAATCTAAACACACTCGCACACACACACACACACACACATACGCACTACTTATAGGGATATATTTAAGAAGCAGCAAACTAAATAATAACATTTAAAAGGCGCCAAGTGGTTCCATAAACAAATATTTGAATAGAAAAAATTCGAAATTCGTTGCCCGCTTCTGACGAGCCAACTGCCAACGGGCAACCGGCAACTGGCAACGGTCGGCGCTGAAAGCACAACGCAAATTGAGAAAAATTCAAGTGTAATCAAAAATGCGGTTGCAGCTGTAAGCTGAAGTGAAGCAAAGTAAATATACGCTGCTCGGGTAGGTGGGTGGGTGGTTCTCTGGCAGGCTGTGCCAAATCAATTCACGCTGTGCAAATGGCAGGCTGCGACGCAGTTTCGGGCTCGGCGGTGCCTCATCCTGGCAACAGTTGCGGCTGCGCAATCCGTATCTCAAACGGGACAATGTGGTTGCTCTTTTGGCAGTTCAATTCCCTTTTTGCTGGGCTAACAAGTTGGGCCTGATTGTATGTAGCTGCGCCTTTGTTCGGCAAGAAATTCAAAACCGAAAACCCGCTGGCTTTAAGGGTTGCACGAGCGAATAAAAGAACAATGCTTTAATAACATAACTGCGCATAGCTAAAAGACAGAGAGAGAGAGGGAGAGAGAGTGAGAAGGCACAGCACAAGAGATTAAAAAGGTACCAATACCAAATTCCAAATAAAAAGGCAAAGGTTTCTGTATTTTTTATCATTAAAAGAACAAAACAACGGCCTCGCCAAAGCAGAGCCAACTCTGACGGCGACTCCGATTCCGACTGAGGCAGTAGGGAATATTGCACAAAGGAGATTAAGTTCCTTTCAGCAAACGAGACGGACAGAGAGACACACGCAAATGCGTAGAGATGCAGGCACAATTCCAGCAGTGCCATAGCCCAGCCGGATCCAAGTGAGCATTCCAATCCTGCCTGCCTCCTGCGTGCTGCCTGCCTGCTGCTCTCTGACAATACACAACTGCGCAAGCGTAACCTTTCATACCTGATTATGGGATCACTATGGAAAAATGTGTGTGTGCGAGCGTGTGTGTGTGTGTGTGTATCTCTTTGCGTTTCGTTTCGTTTCGTTTGAAATCAGAAAATGCAATTTACGAAAACAAAACAGAATGTTGGGAAAAGTGAGTCCCCGGGTACAGGGCACATTAAATTGCTTTTGTAGAAGCGTTGCCCAGCCATAGGCCAAGACATTGATTGGTATTAACGCTTAACCTGTTCGGGTTTCTCTGTATTTCTTTAGCGAGGGGCTAGCTACCTGCCAGTTGCTAATCCAGAGACACAGCCAGAGGCGTTGCTTCCCAACTTCTTTGGGCCAGTTAGTGAGTTATTCTGGCTCTAGTAGAAAGTTTCTCAGTCCGGGCAGTGTCAATGTTGTGACAGATGTAGCTACAGTCTTTACCATAACTATAATGTCAAGGACAGTCGCAAGGCAGGCCACATTGTAGCGCTGAGCAGAGACTAAAACAACACGATACACAACAGACAACAGCTTCATGTTGTTCATATGGAAAACAGCAAAAGCAAACGAGACGCGGGCCTGCCGCAGAAATTCAAAATATCATCAGCATCAGCAGGCAGCATCATCATCATTTTACCCGCACTTCATTAATCATCATGCCAAAACAGACAGCCCCCAACATAGTGCGGTTGTTAGTGTGTGAGTGTGTGTGTGTGAGTGTGTGTGTGTTAGTGTAAATGTGTGTGTAGAAGAGACAACTACTTAGAAGCAGACGCAGGCACTGCTGCACGCATGGTTGCAATCTGCAACAACAATCCGAACAACAAATAGAGAGGATCAGCAACAACAACGAGACAATGGAGCCGCGTTGTCAACGCCAAAAAATCAACTCGTCGCATGTACAAACTATTAGCCAAAACGCCAAAAGTTGTCAGTCCGACTGGTGCGAAGGCAAAAGCTACTTGCAACGCGTGGCCTTTGTGACGACTGATTTTCATTAAAAATTACTTAAAACGAAATCATAAAAATTATTTGGGCAATCAGCATGGGGGCTGACTTTAGGGGTTCTTTGTCTTTGGCACAGAGAGCCAGAGAGCGAGAGTGAGACGGCAGGAGGCAAGACATTGGAGACAAAGGCTGCAGCACATTAAGCAATTTTTGTATGGGGAGAAATCACCAGCAGCAACAGCAACAGCAACAACAACAACACTTACGCAGACAGACATACGGCGCGTCGCTTTGGGAGCAACAACATCTTCAGCTTTTGTTGCTTATTTATAAAGTACACATGTATATATTTATATATGTATAAGTATATTTTTATGTATATACATATATATTTGTATCGTTTTTCTTCAGCTGCTTTTAAAGAGAAATTATAAAGCGTTTCCTTAGCTGCATCATTAGCAGCGCCAACACCAAAAGTCGCCTAACTAAGTATATGCCAAACGATACGCAGAGTGCGACGGTTCAGATTGTGAGATCTCGATCTGGTTCTCGCTTTCGTTCTCGTTCTCGTTCTCATTCTCGTTCCCGATCTGTGGCGTTGGCGTTGGCGCATTTTACGCAGTTGCTTAGTCAAAATGAAGTGACTCTATGTATATATGTAGATGCATATACCAACATGGGATGTATCTAGATGCAAACTATCTATATAAAATGCATCGACAGTGGGGCAACTAAAAAAGTATCGCCACATATTTTTAGCGCCCATGTTGGCAGTCGAGTCGAGTCGAGTCGACTGGGCCCTGAATCTCTATGCGCTGCTCAGCTCTGCTCGTTTGTTAAAATTCGATGGGCGAATGACATTTTTGAGTTATTTTTGTCAGCCTAAGACGGCAACAGACAACAACGACCCCAAAGCAGCATCAATTTAGTAGCGAACTAAAAAAGAAATGAATTCAAATCGAATCAAATGAAATGCAAGCGACAACTTAGTTGTTGATGGTGTCTATATCTGTATCTGTGCATCTCTATCTATGTATCTCTATCTCTGTGTGCGAGTGTGCGTGTACTGACGTTGTGCCTGCTGCCATTCTGCTGATCATTCACAAAGCAAAGTGCGAAGTAATGTTCTGCTATGAGGGTGTCAACTAAAATTCTGCATTCGAAGTCACGCGTTATGCAAACGCAAGTGAGAGAAACCAATTATAGCCTAAGATCTTTATATTGCCAAACAATTTATATATGATATACAGAGAACATATAGGTTGTTATTCTATTCTATTTAATAGTTCTGAAGTTTATTAGTACTTAAATCTACGGAAAGACTCATTCCAAGCTGAAATTTGTTAACTCAATTGGCATTTCATTGTCAATTTGACAAAAGTTCATCAAAATCTCGCCAGGGATATGAAAAACAACAAATCATTGTGGTTTACAACAACGACAACAACAACCACAACAAAAACAACACCTTGCCAGGAAAGGACCAAAAACGTATCTTGATAAATGTGGATTCTGTTGTTGTTGCTGTTGATTTTATTACCCATGGCAGGCCTGTCAAAATTCCAAATGGACCATAAATAAAAACATCATTTTTTTGCGTACAAAATCCAACTGGCCAGCAACAACAACAAAAGTGGGTGTCTCTTGCTGTTATTGTTGTTTTTATTATTATTTTTCTCATTTCCTTTTTTTTCTCCTTATTTGGAGCGCCAAAAATGTCGCGGACATGAAAATCTCTAGATGGAGCCATAAGTTTCGCTCGTATCGCGCCCGCCCTCTGAGCGAACGTCTGTTTCTTAATGTGATCTCGTTCATAAAAATAGCAGCGCGCAGAGAACTGGATGCCAGGATGTAGCTGCAGGGGTAGCTGCCACAAACGTACATAAACGACTTGCAACATTATAATTTGTATGTTAAAACATCGTAAATTACTTAAATGTCACTCCGTTGAAGTATAAGCTCAGCTTTTGGGCAGCCGTCGGGGGAAGTGTCAATTGTGGCAACGCATATTTGTGACATATGGCAAGCCGAAACGAAATGTAATTAAGTGCAGTCCCTCAAGAGAGCCAAGGGGGACGGCCGGAGTATAAAAGAGAGCGGACTGCTACGTAATCCGATCATTTAACGGTTTGCTTCGTTAGACTCGTGTGGCGCGATTTGGTGGACAGGCTCTCTGCTGTGCTGCATGTGCCGCATGTGCCGCATGTGACACATGTGGCAGCGCGCGCAACGAGCACAGCTCCAATTACCCCCAAAAGAACACGGAATCAGGAGTGGAGATGATCTCATCATCAACTCTTTTGTTCGCTTACCTGTTTACTGAACATTGCAATATCCTCGTTAAACGATTCCGATGAACAAACATCGCCACCTTGCACGCCAGGCTCCCTCGGCGTACATGTGGCCAATTCGCATTTCTCGAATATTAGCGCCAAGAGCGGGAATAGCGGATGTCTGTAATAGAAAGAGACAGGGCGACAAATTAATAAACTGAATTTTACATCTAAAAAGAAAGGAATAAGAATAATCCCATGCAAAAAATCATGATTTGTGCTGATTTAAGAATTCCTTTAAGTTAATAGCTATATGAAAACAAAACAAGAGTTTAGCATATTTTTTTGTCAGTGTATGCCTAGCTGTTTTTTAACTATTTCCTGCCTTGAACCTGCAATGCAAATGAGTAGCAGCTGTTTCGTTTCAATGAAAAGAGAGAGAGATAGAGAATGAAAAAACCGTCTACATCTACATATAATCCCTCCGTTTGAGACCTGGCCCTACATTTTGACGGATTAGTTCAGCAACTATGCATGATTTGACCATTTTTTGTTGTTCTTTTTTTTTCTGTTTTTTTGAATTTCGTTTTCTTTTTATTGTTGTTAACTGCTCTTCACGCTCCAAGCACAAATTGCACCTGAACAAAATTAGGCAAAGAGCGAGTGAACCCTCTCGAACTACGGGGCCGTTCCTTGGCCCAGCCCAGGCACTTCATTTAGCCATTAGATGGCACAACTGACCATTGACCATCGGTGAGGGTGTAGCCGTGCGCTTAGCAACTATTAATAAGCGGACCGTGGCCCGAAACCCCTGAACTCTGCTCTACAACTGCTAATGCGAAGGCCCTTGCGCTTTTTACAGTCGACTGCGCAGCAGAGTTTCCATTCCCATTGCCATTCCCCTTTCTACTCCATTTTCAATTCCATTTCCATTCCCATTCCCGCTGGCCAGGATCGACCCAAGCAACAAAAAAAGTGTGCACTCATTTGCCATGACTTGGCATTTGTGACAGGCAGCTGAAGTTGTTCCTGTTGTTGTTGTTGATATTGTTGTTGCACTCCACTCGAGAAGGTGTTAAGAGAGTTCTGCGCATGTTCATTTTATTGTAGCGGCTGCTTTTTCATTTCGTTTATTTCGTATTGTTATTATTATTTTTGTGTCTGGCTGCCGCTTTCAAGGTGTCAATTGTACAAATAAGAAGCGCATTTTCGAGTTTTATTTACAGCAGTGCCACTGGCTGTGCCAGTTGCAGGTGGCAGAGCCAAAGCCCAAGCCCAAAAGTGTGCTAATGAAGTCATGCCCCATGTTTGCTCACACACTTGAAGCGCAAACGCAGACGCAGACGAGGACGCAGACGAGGACATCGTCCTAAGCGATGAGAAGAACGCTCATCAAGCAACCAGCAACCAACAGCTGATTGATGCGAACTCAAGCTCGGCTCATTCATAAAGTTGCCGGAGAAAACAAACAAAAACCAAATATTTGCTTATTAAAATGCGCAAGAAAAAATGAAGGCTAAAGTCAAACATGATTCAAGCAGCTGTTCCTGGGTATCGCCAGTTGCAGCACATGAAAATTGGCAGTTGTTAAGCTCCTGCGTGTGCAGGACACGCAACTGCAGAAACGAGAATGACACGAGCAGCGTGTCCTCTGCTTTTGATGAAGTTAGAAAAAGGCAAAAGAGCCGAAACCGCATTTTGGCAACTTAACACCAAGTGGCAGCAGAAGCAGCAGCAGGAGAGACAGCAACAACAATAACAACCTGCTGCTCATTTGGAAGGGACTCCCTAATGCCTAAGCACGTCCATGTGCCGTGTCGGACACTAAGCACGCGCCACACCCCCCGATCAGCCGCAACAAGCGCAGCCGCAGTCGGAGCGCACAAATTAAAAAAGAAATTTTGTTGCCAAAGGAAACCCATAATTTTGTATTTTGCACAAAACACAGAAGGTCACGCCCAATTCTACGAGTATACAAAAAAATTAAAAAATGAAAGAGAAAAAAACCAACTAAGAGAAAAACATGGCCCTCACTAAGGTTTTTGTTATTTTTTTTTTTTTCGTTTTTGTTTCCTTTGCTAAAGGATCGTCGCGTGTGCGTTAAATTTATGTTACTCCCTCGCCTCGAATATCTTCTTTTTCGAAGACGGGAGGTGCGAACAGGCTGCAACAGGTGGCGGCTCAGCCCAGGGATCGATCGCAACAAATTGGTATTCAATATGTGAGTTAGCTGATCAAAGGGCGAAAATTGGCGATGGCGACTCATGCCAGTAGGAAGTTGGAAGTTTAGTAAATTAAATAAATGACTTGGACAAAATTCAATTGGCCACTCATCAGGCGACAAATCATGCTTATCATGCTGATCGCTGTGGTATAAGGATCGATTCGAAGTGATGGCAACATCAAAAGTAGAATCGAATTTTCTGTGTCAGTCTCACGAAATATCTTTTAATGAAGATTGAAATATTAATAATCCAGTTTATCGGCCAAGCGATCATGTAGCTATGTGGAATTTATAGTTCGACCGATTATATAGTCTTTTGTCGAACTATTAATCGATCGACCCAATCTAGTATTACGCGTGATCGTGTAAGTTTGCCCATAAAATCACTTTGGGCTGGAATTGCTAATCGCTTTGTGTTGCTCGATCGACTTTAATCCAACTTATGAATGAGCGACCATTTTTTATGATCTACGCTTATCACTAAACTGGTTCATTGACAGCTCTCTGTGCTGGGCTGTTCCAATTGATTTGACAAGTAGTATTTAACGATTCGGCGTCAATTTTAAAAAAGTTTGGCAGCAACATTTGGCGTTTACTTACTCATAAATCGCATCCTTATCACGTTTGTGTACCTCGGGTATTGCGCCCATTAGGTGATTAGCAACCGGTGATACATGACTAGGTGTACCGTGCGCTCCGGCCCCCGAATGGTAGCCGTGCATCCCAACTGTGGCCGCTGCCGCGGCGTGCGTCATGTGCGGTGAGTGGTGCGAGGGGAGGCCTTGCAGTCCGGGCGGCCGATGGCCGACATGTGGATCATACATCGCCGCGGCTGCGGCGCCAGAGTCCATGCCGTAGCCATGCAGGCCATCGTCATACTGTAAACAAACCAGAGAGCGAGAGAGAGAGAGAGAGAGCGAAAGAGAGAAAGAATATGAGAATTTATACTTATTAGAGATATAATTATATTTATACGATATGTTTCTCAGCGTCAGTAAATGCCAGCTACGAATTGTACCTGCATGTACGTATATCTATATATCTATATGTCTTTTCTGTAAATATGTCTATCTACATTTAAATTATTTCCAAGCACGTCAACAAAAATTGAAGCCCCCAAAATAAAAGAGGGGGGAAAAAAAGAACAAAACGGTTCGCATTGTGTTTGACCTTGTGATTACTTTGGCTGCGGCATTATATAGATATCTATATGTACATACAGATATAAGTATATTTAGCTGATTGCTGTTGTTGTTCTTATTGTTGTTGTTGTTGTCGCTTCTTTTCTTTCAACGTTTTTTGCATATTAATTAAGCGCCAAAATGAGCAGCAGCAGCAAAACAGTTAACAGAGAGCAGCAAAAAAAGTAATTTTTAATGTTATCAGTTAATCTGTGTGTGCGATTGTGTGTGTGAGTGAGCTGGTGCGAGTGTATCTCGCTAGCTCCGTCTCGCTCTCAATTGCAAACTGGTTTCGCGTATGCAACAACGGCAACAACGGCAACAACTACAAGCAACAGCAACAACACAAAAATATTTTTTAAAGTTCAACGCGGCTGCTCTCTGCCTTCTGTGATTACTGCCTTTTGTGATTGCGATTGTTGTTGTTGTTGTTGTTGTTGTTGTTGTTTTGTGTAAGATTTTTATCATTTTTATACTCAAGTGGCGTCGTCGCCGCTTCACACTGCATAATTTTTGGAGCTGAGCATCTGAGGAGCTGGAAAGCTGAAGAGCTGAGGCGCAGCAAGTTGACAAGATTTTTGTGCAGCGACAAGAAATGATGGCACTTTTTGCTGCCGAAGTTTTCCCTCGCATTTGTTGTGCCTCTGGGCCTGTGTGTGTGTGTGTGTGTGTATGTGTTGTTATCGGCTTGGAAAAATCTTTGACACTAAATGAGCAATTGACTGAGTGACGCTTGGCGGCTTGGGATTGGCATTCGGCTTGTGATGGGGAGTGTAGTAAGTGGCTGTGATACGAGTAGCTCTTGACTTGGCCAGGATTTGCACCTGACAGTGTGTGCGTGTGTGAGTGTATGTGTGTGCTTGCTTTGAAATGGGTCTATCAATGGCTGACTGTTGCCCCCCCACCCTTCATTGCGAATGATATTCTCAGGCAGCAGCAGCAGCAACAGCAGCAACAGCAACAGCTGCTGTTGGCAGGTTTTGTGCGGCTGCCACCTGCAAAAAGTACCAAGACCTTTTGTCATTTTAGTTTGCTGGCAATCCTTTAGATACACACAACAGATTAGTTACTGTGCAGCTTTCAAGGCACAAGCACACAAATCGAGTTTTGTTCCGTTTTGCTTTTGTCGCTTTTTATTATTTTTGTTTTTGTTTGTTTTTTTTTTTTTTTTTTTTTTGTTGCTGTTGGTCTTTTTGTCACTCATTCTTGGTGTTGGCGTCTCTGTATGCACTGCATGCAAGATACAAACTTATAGATACAGCCAGACCGGATCAGTGCCAGACCACAGAATGAACCGAGCCCGGGTCGGACCGGGCCGGCCGGGGCCAGACCAGGCAGTCGAGCAGTTAAACTATAAAGTTGTTATGCTAATTTTAGTGTTGGTGGCACAGCCAACGAATGAGCGAATATACAAAGCAGCTCGCGGAGGCAGCGTTGTTGCTTTTAGAAATGAGGAAATTGTGGAGCACCAAACAGCTAAACGCCAAACAGCCGAACAGCCGAACGTCCAAACAGCTAAGAAAACAAAGCAAAGCACAAGCAAAATCACCAACAAAGAGATCTCTGAAAATTACCACAATTTGTACTTGTACATAAGTAATGTGGGAATTGAGCAGCAATCCCCTGTACCCATTCCCAGTGCCCAAATGAACGGACTTTTGTTACTTTGGTAACTGAACGCGCCAAAAATCGAACAGGCAAACACACTTAAGACCTGGGCACTGAAGACTTAAGGCTTTCCCATTTGATTGATGATCATCTGCGGGCTCGAGCCCGAGAGCCCGCGCCCGAGCCCGAGCCCGAGCCAATGACCTTGTTGAGGCAACGCGTCGCGTCTACTGCTGCAAGCTCTGCTCTCAAATACACTCCTTCTCATTCCCTCCACCCCTTCTCCCCTCTGGTGAATCAATAACAACAACACAGCCAACAATCAGTGGACGCGAACGGGGACTCGGAATATAACAGCGAACATGGCTCTGTTGGTGTTGTCGTCTGATTTTGACAAGTTCAGCGCCGAAATCCTTCAAAAATTTATGTATTTGCGGCCCTCACACACACAATGACAGCGCTGCTCAGGGCTGGGTAAGAGGGGGCGACGCTAGCTGTCAGTGACAGGCGCAGCAGTTACATAGCCAACAGGACAACAGGACGCATAGCCTAGCGAGGACTCGGCGCTCTTGTTGCCTCTGTATGTGTGTGTTTGCGTCTGTGTGTGTATTTTTGTCGTGATTGAGAGACATTAAGTCATCGAGCCGAGCACAACAACAACAACTACAACTCACTCGACTCAATTGTTGGCTTTAAATGCTACAAAATGTTGTGCCGCACTTTAAGCTTGCATTAGGCAGTTTGTCCTGCTCGATACTATATGTAGTTGGGCGCACACATACAAACACACATACACATACACTCATATGTCAACCTAACTGGGATGCCCCCTTAAAAAAAGGGGGCGGCAAACCGACCAAAACATTTGCACAAACATTTTTGTCTTTTTGAACTTGAAACTCACAACTGTAGCCAAATGCAGTTGCCACAGATGCAGATACAGCAAGAGCAAGAGAGAATGAGAGTGAGAGTGAGAGTGAGACAGAATACGCAAATACAAATGGAGGGGGAGGACGTGAGGTGCACAGTTTAGGCGGCAATCGTTGTGTTTTTGTTGTTTTTAGGGAGTTTATCTAACGGCGCCTAAAACTGACCAGTGCCAGACTGCAAGAATTATAGGTGCGACGCCTGTGTGCGTGCGTGTGTGCGTGTGTGTGTGTGTGTGGTGACAATGGCCGCCATTTTAGCAAGCCCTTAAACCCTCGACACGTGTCTGTGTGCGTGGGTGTGTGTGTAAGGGTGTTATGTGTGTGCTCCATATGCATAAATGTTCCGAACAACTACGAAACGATTGGAGTTGTGCATAAATGTGTTGGCCAGTGTTATTGATTTCTTATTCGGGCAACACTTTTGCTTTTCATTCTTTCACATTCTTAATTGTGCGACGTTGGCCGCCTAATCAAAATTAATTGTTTATCATGTTGTATTTGAGTTTGCTTCGTTTTCTTTTTTAATTCAATTTTTTTGTTTCTTATTTTGCTTGCTTAATTAGCAGACGAACAGAGCGACCCTGAGATATGCTATTGCCATTGCCTTTAGAACTTGAATTGGATGTGTATGTGGAATTGTGGATTTGGTGTATTTTGTATTGTAGGTGTGTCCGAGAGTTGGCCAGAGTTTGGAGTAAGCCGTTGTCCCGAACCCGTAACCCACAGCCGGAGCATTTCATTAAGCTGGGCACACGCCCAGTTTTATTATTTTTATATTTTCTACTTTTTTGTTTCTTTGGCTTGCGGGTCGTTGCTGATGTTTTGTATAGTTTATTTGGTGTTAGACAATTAATTTTTGTTGCGTGCCTCAGCGTTGTTTTAATTTACAGTTGCAGCCACAGTCGATTGGAACACGCTCGCTTTTATTGGTATTATTATTACGACTAATAATAATATTCGGTGCCCTCTGAAGTCTGTCAAACAAAAGGGCCTAGTAACCACTCGCTTATCCATTTCTGGAGTTTAAATTTTTGTTCAAAAACAAATGCACAAGTGTATATATGTTGCGTGTATATATATATATACACATATATTTCAGACGATCGTTAGCTAAATTGAAAGTCGTAGTCGCTACACAAGGCGACAGCAACCAGAAATTCTTGGCATTTTAACATTAATACAAAAAAAAAAAAAAAGAAAAAAAAGAAGCAAATGACGTCAGCCGGGCATTTATTAAAATAAAGGCAGCTAACAAAATATTTTTAAAAAAATACAATATAGACTACAACAAAGACTAGCACAATTTTCCACGGACCGCACATATAACTAATCAAAATCAGAGATAATTAAAATTCTAGGAATTACAGTCGAAGTATCCAAGTACAATATGCATGTATTGTTAGCGTTAGGTTCGTTTCCCTTTTCTATACTTTCTCATGGGCTCCATAATAGTTGGGATAGTTAAAAATATATTTTTGTACAATTCTTAAGAATGTTGAAACAGAATATAAATGAAATGTATAAAAGTGCCATCTAAAAATTAGATTAGTCATTTTGCTTTTAACTAATTTATGTATAAATAGGCATGAGAATGAACTAAATAGAAATGCACAGACATGTGTATTTTTTTAATAATTCGAATATCGTTAAACATTTGCCGCCTTGCGGCTTTTAGACACTTTATTTCAAGGCATTATATTTAGTTTCTGAAGGTATGTAGCTATATTTTTTAGCTGCGTATCTAGACATTGTATTAATTTCGAAATATATATATATATTTAAAAAACAACTTTTAATATTATCTCACATTTTCTATCAATTTTCAACAGCACGCGGCGTCTATTTAATTAAATTGGCTTGGCCCGACAACAACAAATAGGAAGCAGAAAAAAAAAAACCAGAGAGGAGCTAGCGGAGCTGTGGCAAACTGTGGAGTAGCTGCGTCTGCGTCTGCTTCTGCGTCTGCGTCTGAGTCTGGCATGGCAAAAGTTACTCAAAAATACTAAAATAAATTGCGTGCTGATGGCTCATTTAATTTAATGAGCGGCGTGCAACTTGTCTAAATGATTTTCCACGTCTTTTCGTTGTTTTGCCCCCGTGGAAGACCCCAAACATTTTCAGCTTGTATCAGTTAGTTTACAGTAAACACACACATACACACATACATATGTGTATATCTTTCCTTCATTGTTGTATCCAAAGTCTGCGCTAGAGCGTAAGTCAAAAAGATGTAATGGAATTCACTTAACTTGCCGAAAATTAGCGCTCGCTTAGCGCTAATGCTGGGGGAAATTACATTGTGCGAAATATTTTGAAGCCAAATTTTAAAGACGATTTGAGCGCAAATGTAAAAAGAAATGAAACTAATGAAAACACTTCCAACAGCCAAACGGCCTCTTGGCAGCAATAACACCAACAACACCAACAACAGCAACAACAGCAACAACACCAACAACAGCAACAAAAACAACGCACCAGGCACCAAACGAGGCACGCAATTTGATCATTAAACATGAAGCTCTTTAGCACACGAAAAACCCAAACACTACCCCAGGAGTCATCGAGTGGAGCTGCAGAGCAGTTCATGCGGTTGGCATCCAATACCGAACCCCCTGGAGACTGTTGTAGGTTCCGTTCCGTTTCGTTCCTTTCCCTTCCTTTCCCTTCCGTCGTAGCTACAATGTGGCCTGCAGCGCACAATTCTTATGCAGTTTCTGGTATGCCAGAAATATTCATAAACATATGCACACATAAAGTGTATAATTTGTTTATAAATTTTACTCGTAGCTTGTGCAAAGTCCTGAAGCACAAGTTTCCTACAAGCTGGAGATGGAGTTGGGAATAGACCCTACTGAAGTTCCGCTTGGCTGTTAAAGACTTTTAAGTCTGGCATGACTCATGAGCGACTGTGTTGCTGGATCTTCCTCTCACAATTCTTTCTTTGCCAGATCATATGAATCACTACGAATTGAAAGTTACGAGATCCAACTCTCGCGTTAAGAATAGTTCGCTTTTCTTACCTAAATCAAATCTCTTTAAGCCATAGTTTTTTTCTATTCTGTATTTTGATAAAATCTCTGTTTAAATATAATTGATTTAAGTGCAAAAATCCGTAACACAATATAAGTCCTATACACTTTGCATCTGAGAGCTAGCTTTTAACTTTGTATTTTAATCTATATTTTGTAGGAATTCTAACATCGTATAGTTAAGACATTTCCGAATTTCTTGAAAATATTTTTACATTCGCTTTTTAATAGATATTTTCTAGCTTTATAGAATACGAAAATGTTTTATTATAGTGGAGCCTCATTCTGACTTAGATATATAGAAAGAAAAGTCGACCAACTCTTGCGACTGTAATTTGAAGGAAAACTCATGCTGTTTGGCACCTGAATCAGACGCCATCGGCGCGATTTGCAAGTGAATATAAATCGTGGACCGCTAACAGCTAACAAAAGCGAAACAATTTAAGGCCAAATCGAAAAAGCGGCCGCACATTTAGTGCCCCAGAGCCAAACAAATGGCGAACTGCAACTGCAATTGCAACTGCATTTGCGAGAGGCGAATGTCGAATGGGCTCTCGTGCTCTCGGGCTCGGCTGAATACCATTTTGTGCTGTGCACTTTTATTTGATTTTTATTTATATTATTTTCATTTTCGTTTTCATTTTTATTTGATTTTTATTTATTTGCCGATTTTATTTTGCGCTCTCGCGCGCTGAAAGCGCGACCAGCGCACACTAGACGAATTATATTTTATGCCACAAATTACGCTGCGGTTAACCTTTAAATTAAAATAACACCAAAACAATTTTTGTGCTGAATGTTGAATGTTGCAGCGGTGCAGAAGAGGATGTATGTGTACGTGCATGTGTGTGTGTGTGTGTGTGTGTGTGTATGTGTGTGTCTGAGGCAGCTGCACAAATTGCAATTGCCGCTGCTCGCATTTTGCGATCTTTTTTTTCGTTCGTTTTCATTAACTGCGAGGCATAAAATAATCAAATTATATATATAACAAAAAATTGCCTGCTGCCATTTGTTCTTGGTTTTTTGTTGTAACGCACAAAAGTGCAAATTATAGTAAAAATAAAGCGAAATGAAATTGTAATTGTAAATAATAAAACCACAGCATGTTGCCCCCTGCCTCTGTCCGCTTCAACCTTGCCTCGCCACGCCTCGCCAATGTGCAATAAAATTATATGCATCACATCAAACACACACGCACAGATACGCACACACAGATACGCGCACACAGATACCCACACACAGATACGCAGACAGCCAATGAACCTGGGCCGTATGGGCATTTGATGGGATCGGAATCTGAGACTCGCCCAAAGAGAGCGAGAATTTCGCGTATTAAACCACAAACGTAAATTTATGTGCCTGCAGCAGCAACAACAACAACAACAACCACAACAACAAAAGCTCCAATCCGAACCGATCCCATCCAGAGCGAACCGAACCGAACGGAACAGTGAAATATTAAAATCACCACAAAATTCCCGCGGGCAGTTTTACGGTTTTTTTTTCGTATTTCGTGTCTTTAACTGGCCTCTCCCTAGAGAGCCAGGCCTTAACCATGTAGGACAGTGTCATAACACCCAATGCTAATTACAAACTACGCACACACACACACGCACACACACACGAATTTACTTTACTCTGATTTGGTCTCGTTTTCTTGTATTCTCTAACGATTTAACGATCCATAGAAATATCAAGTTCATTTCGCACATGTATGTTAATCAGTTCATAAAGTTAAAGTTGGCAAATAAAACACACAAAAAACGAAAGAAAAAAAAGAATGAAAAGAGCGCTAAGTATATTGCCCAGTCAGCTGATTAGTATTTATTTTGAAAAATAGCCAGAATTGGTTTTCGAGAGATTTTAATCAAATTATAATTATAATCTAAGCCGATTCCATTTGATTGGAGTAATGCATCTTCAGTAAGATAAGTTTCTAACAGAGACTTGCTTTATAAGTTTGTCAACTTACATTTGAACAACATTTTCGTTAACATTATGTTAACTTTGAAAATAATTTTTTTTAATATTTGAAAATAATTAACTATTGCAGAGCTAATATTATAATTTTTGAATATTAATACACGTGCACACACATTAACATATGTAACTTTATGAATTGGGAATCTGTCAAGTTACATTTGAGCAACATTTTCGTTAACATTATGTTAACTTGATTTGGTTGGAATATGCACCACACTAGCCATAAAATAATTAACAATTGCAGAGCTAACATTATAATTTGTGAATATACACATTTACATATGTATGCAGATTATCAGCTTGATAAAATTCTAGCAATTATAATATTTTTATAGTCTGATATACCTATAAAAATCTTGTCACGCCACAAGCACTAACTGCTTATAATATGAATATATGTATTTGTGTGTTTATGTAAGCAACAAAGACGAATGCCGACGGCTCCGAGAGAAAACACAATAATTCAAATCATAATCGGAGATGGGATCTACATGAGTTCTTTCTGGCCGTAATTAACAGAATTTGTCGGAAACTATAGAATTAGTTGTAAAATTTGACAATTGGCAAATAAACACAATTTCAAGAAACAGCCCCCAAATTTCTTCCAGAATTGTCACCCAGCTACCCATCACAAGCACTTTCTATGGTATCTCAATGGGAAAGCCCGAAATGGTTGAGCTATGTGAAATTGCCGTCGCCTGAAATTGCCGTCGCCAAATGGGAGCATGGAATTTCTGACGCTGAGGCATCGACTTGGATTGGGATTGGGTTTTTGTATATAATGAAACGATTTACTTACCCTAGGCTGAGCCATTAATGCTCTGGGAGCGACGTCTAACCCGATTTGTGCCACTTTTAGTGGTGTACAGAGGACAGTTGGCGGCGCAACACAGAATGAGGGTCCTCGTCCTCGTCCTCGGCCTCGTCCCTTGCGTCCGCGTCCTCCCTGGCGACGTGACGAACTCTATGGAGTAAGATCTATCAGATCTTGGGGCCTCCTGCTCTCGGTTTGGTTGTATTTTTCTATTTCTTTTTCTTTTCTTTCTCGTGACACTCACAAAAATATTATTAGAATTTGTGTATTTTGAATATATTCAATTTCTATCTTTCTCTCTGCTTCGCTTCTCTTGATACGTAGTTCTTGATCTTTCTTCTTCTGCACTACAGCTTCTTCTTCTTTTTCTTCTACTACTTCTTTTTCTTTATTATTATTTTTTTCGGTTTTAACACAGGCACATTTGTTAAAATCTTTGCTTTAGACTTGTTTCATTCTTTGCTAAGATTTATGTATTTCATTTGTTGTTGTTGTTTTTGTTGTTGTTGTTGTTGTTGTTTTTGTTGCTGGTATACTTTGTTGTTGTAGTTACGCGCGCGTTTTTGTTATTAGCGGGAGATCTTTTTGTTTTGTATTTTGTATACATACATACATACATATATATATATATATATAAATGTTTATATAATATTTACATATAATTTCTTGTAGTTATATATATTATTATTTTTGTTTCTTTTTTTGCTTTTGTTTTGCGGTTTATAAAAATCGTATACAATTTGTTTTCATTGGGGTTGCCGTTACAGCAGTTGTTGTTGTTCCTTTGTTGTTATATTTTTTACATTTGTTGTTGTTCTAACTATGCTGCTTAGCTGCTGTTGTTGTTGTTGTTGTTGTTGCTGCTGCTTGTGTGGGCCAGGCAACATAGTTTGCAGTTGCTGTTGCCTTTTAGCTCTGCTTGTGGGTTGTTGTTGTTGTCATAAATCCATTGCTCGAGCCTTTTGCAGTGGCTGCTTCGTCTTCTTCTTCGACTTCTGACTGTTCCTCTTTGACTGCGTCCCTTTTGTGTTGCTGTTTTATTTTGTTGTATATTTGTTTGCTTGTATGTCGTATACTTCTTGCTTCGTATAATATGCGCACTATTTATCACAGCTGCTTCTACATACTATAATATGCTACGAAAAACCAAAAGCTTGTTGTCAATTGTTTCGTACAAATCAGCAGCCAATCAACATCGACTAACTGTTTACAGTTTATGGTTGCATTAACTGCACTTTGTTTTTTGGTTTGCTTCTAACGAAACGTGCAATCGGAAAATGTTGCAAATGTTGTTTTAGCGACGGTAACGCGACGGCGACGGCGACAGCGAAGGCGACGGCGAAGGCGAAGGCGTAGGCGACGGATACGGAGACGGCGGCGGCAACACGACGAAAGTCCGTTAACGTTGCTGCGTAACGCGTAACGTAACGTAACGACCGATCGTAACGTCGCGCAACGAGACGCGCGCGCTTTTCACTTATATGTATGTGATTTGATATATTATTTGCTGGCTTGCCGAGGAGATCGCGACGATTAAATTTTTGGCGGTGTCCAAAATTTGTTCCGCTAGCTGTCCGCAGTTGTGGTTATTGCTAATATTGTTGTTGTTTTTGTTGTTGTTGTTGTGTAGTGTGGCAATAACAATAATAATGCTATGCAATAGCAATAATAATAGTAATAATAATAATTTTTCTCAACGGCTGCGACGTTGGCGACGGCTTCGGCGTTTTCGGCTTCGCTTCTCGCTTCGCACACAACACAGACAGCACAAGCACAAGCACGTCGTACGCGGTTCGAAGGCAAATACACACTGTCAATCATGCTCATGCACGCTTGCACGCCGCTGTCTGGTCGATCGTACACTCACACATACGCACGCACACAGTCGCAAAGACGGCGGCGACGCAACAATTGTGCCATTAAAAAAGGTTGTACAAAGCGGTGGCTCATAAATTTACCAGCAGTGCGAATGCGATGGCTATACAAACACATCTGACTCCGGCGAATTGTGGTGCGTGCGTGTGTGTGTCTGTGTTTGCGCCTGCTGGTCGCTTTGTTGGTGTAATTGCGGCGAATTGCGCGGCGAAAGCGCAGGCGCGCTCTTGTGAGCACACTACAAAATGGGGCCCAAAGGCAGAGCGCAAAGGATGATGACTGATTTGTTAGTACGCCTTTTCTGTCATACACACACTTGTCACAATCTGGCCTGGGCTGCGCTACTCTACTGCGCTCAGTTTTGCTATATATATTTTTTTGTTGTTTTGTTTTTTGTTTTTGCCATTTGTTTTTCGACTCTTTTTGCGCAACGACGACGTCGTCGTCGTCGTCGTCGTCGTTGTCGTCGTCGTCGTCGTCGTTGGCGTTCGCTCAACGTTCGTTCATTCGTTTGAAATTTATTTGGCTTTGGCCAAAAGGAGACGGCTTATAGGTTTTGGCCGTTGCTACCGTCGCATCGCCTCTCTCTCTGCTGCTGCCAGCGTCGTCGTCGTCGTCGTCGTTGTTGCCGTCGCTGTGCGTGCGTTGAAAATCAGCAAAAACCAATCCCATTTGTTATTTTCGCTTGAGTGAGTGGCAGTTTGCATCAGTTTGCCATTCAGTCTTCTTTGGCCGCCCCACCTGTGCGCGCAGGCATTGGGCATTGGGTGGTTTTTGGGGCTGGGGTTGAGCGTGTTCTCTGCTGTTTGTGTTTGTGTTTGTGTCAGTGAGTGCTTTCAGGTGTTTTCTAGCCTTTGCCACACTCCAGACGTTGTCGTTTGGCATTGCCTTTGCCTTATGCTTGCTTGCTTGCTTGCTTGCGCTTGTCCGTCACTTCGCATCGCGCTCAACTTTCGCTCAACTTTTTTGCGCTCTTTGCCAACTCACACACACACACACAAAGTCATACAAAGAGAAGCACTAACATACACATACGCACGCATACATAGACAGTTGAATAGGCAACGCCTTCAAAAGCTGCAGCGACGTTGTCGACGTCGTTGTTGTTGTTGTTGTTGTCGTTGTCGGCAGGCGTCATGGCGATCCAGCCACTTAGCCAATGATCCTGCCAGCAGCAGCAGCAGCAGCAACAACAACAGAAACAATAAAAACAACCAACAGCTGTTCGCACCGTGAACTTTGTGTGCAATAATAAATCGCGCGCCGATAAATTCAACTGCCCAAAATGCATATCCTGCCGCTGCCGTTTGTTGTTGTTGTTGCTGCTGCTGGTGGCGACTCCGTCGTCGTGTCGTCGTCCTCGTGGCAGCTTAAAAAGCAGTTAACACATATTCCGAGGCAATTTTTCAACAACGCATTTTTGGCCTGTGTGTCCTTTTGCTTTTCTTGTTGTTGTTGTTGTTGTTCCTTTTTTTGCGATTTTATTTTTTTTTTTATAATTTTTTTTTTGGCTAACCGGCGTGCGGCGCCCGGTCGCCATTTTCATTTTCGAGGAGCCAACGGCAACACGGGCGGCTGCTGCGTCGACGCCGGCGCTCGTTTTAATGTTGCCGCCGTTTTTGCGCGTTTTTAGGCAAAAATGAAAAATTGCTTTGTTTTTTATTTTGCTGCCTCCTGGCTGGCTGGCTGACTGGCTGGTTGCCTGGCAAGGATGTGGCCACTGTTACACCGAGGACAATGACAATAATAATGACAATGATGCTGATGATGATGCTGCACTTAATCTGGTTTCCATTTCAAAACAGCTGATCATATTTTGTTTCTATTGCGCGTCTTTTCCCCAACTGTTGTTGTTGCGAGGAGCTGAGTAGCTGGTTCCTGCCCTCGCCTCCACTCGCCCGGAGCTCTCATCTTACTGTCGCCCACTTGACAAATTTATGAGACGTTGATTGATTTGCGGTTCGAGATTTTTTTCCCCCAACTTTTTTCAATCGCCTCATGCAAAAAATTGTTGCTGTTGCCGTGCTGTTGTTATTGCAGTGCCAAGGTGCTTAAATTTAAGACCTGCTAATGCAAATTTGTGTGCCAAATGTGAGCGAAAACAAAGCGTATGCGATTCGTATTCATTTGAAAATTCAATTAAAAGTAATAAATTGCTAATCTATTTGAGTGTGCTGACTGCTCGGGGTTAATAGACAAGGTGGGTGGTGGGTGTATTGCCGAAATGGGTTTATACGATAGAAACGACTAAAATGGCATCCGTGTCATTTACAACAAAGTTCAAGGATAAGAAACCTGAAGATGAAAATCTTACAGGATAATTCCAAAATTTAATAGAGCTTCGGATAGAGATTTTGATATTTTATCTGACAAACAAATTAAGATTCCGTTTAAAGGTATAAGAAACGAAATTATTATTATTCTAATTTATCCTCTGGTTAAATTATCGCAAAGTGAAGGACAGTTGTTCTTAGTGTAAATTACAATGCGAATTAAATGTGACTCGTGAATAGTCAGAAATCCAATTGAAACTGTAAATAGGACTACATTTGATTGGAACTGCAAAAGGTGCATGTTATATAAACAACATCTTAAGACATCTATCCATATGCGAGTTTGAGAGTTAAACGAGGTCTTAGCTGCACTGGAGGAAAACGAAATAACAGCACTTGTTGGCAATTTTGTATATTGCATTCTTTAAGGGCAAGCAAAATGGAAGAAAAATGCAATGGGAATTTAATTTAATTTAATATTACAATTTGGCAAAATTGAGGAGACCCTGAAATTTAAATAAGCAGATCCCAAGCAAAGAGCGAAGGGCGCACCGAGGTCTCCACCCACCGTTGAAAAAAGATAGACGAGAAAAAGAGAAACGGCAGCTTGATAATAAGACGAAAAGCTCAAGGCAGCAAAATTGCATTTGGAAACTTCCAATCCCAGACGAGCGCTGAGCGCTGAGTGCTGAGCATTGCTGCGGCATTTGTAGGCGAGACGGACGAAGAAAACTGTGTGCGAGCGAAAAATAAGGCGATGAGAAAGCTCATGCACACACACATATACACAAACACACACACACATACACAGAGGCACAGACTGAGGCGCAGCCAATATGATTTAAAGCGGCGGCAGCGGGCCCCAAATGAGCGCCAACCGTTGCTCGCTCACACTCACGCACACACACGACAGCTGGTGCTGTTTTGTTGTTGGCGCTGCTGCTGTGCATGACAATTCATCTCTTTCTTATAAACGCAATTTATCAAATGAAAACGACGAGCGAGCGACAGCAAAGATGAAGACGACGACACGATATCAAGTTGATGTGAATGTGCCTGCTTGTATGTTGTGTGCATGTGTGTGTAACTGAAGCTGCGTGTGTGAGGCGAGGCTCACTCAAACTCAACTTGAACTGAGCGCCGAGTGCCGAGTGCAATACGAAAGTCGCTCGCGAAGCGAAACAAAAAAACAACATTAAAAATGGCACATGAAGAAAAATAGGAGTTGCCGTCGGCGCTCGAGAAATCAACAACAACAACAACTACAACAACAACAGCAGCAACAGCGACAGCGACGATTTTCTTTTTGGCAGACCCCAACTCGTTGATACTGAAAAACCGCCATAATCTTGACAGACAAGTGCACACTCGCTCTCACACACACACAAACATTCAACGACATTCACGGAGCGCGCCGCTCTTCGCCGCATTGTTTTCGCTCATATTTCACGCTCAAACGGCCATTTCGCTGCACTTTTAATGGTTTGTTTTTGTTTTCGTTGCGCGCACGAGAAAGAGAGCAGTAAACGAGCTCAGGACCGACGATACGACGATACGAATTCGCCGCATTGCGCGAGCGGGCTAGCATGATATATGCTCACTCGCTTTTTATGGCAAACCGAACAGCTGTTTACGAGGCGCGTACAGTTTAAGAGTCACTGGATTCATACTACGAACTAATTTGTATTATTTTTTGCACATTTAATAGACAAAACGTTTCGTTTTAACATTTACCTGTGTACATCAATTCATATTTACCTGTCCGCTTGCATACCTTACCTTCGCTTAGGTCCAGCTACAGACTACAAAACGAAATTTTGTGACTTTCAACGCTTGACACGGCCTGCCATAAACGACTTAGGACCAGCCTCTGGCCCTTACCTGGCCCAGAACTCGCACCCACTGCGCTTTCCGGCCAAGTCATTCAACCCGCCATGCAAAAGCAAAAAAAAAATAATGCAAGGACTCCATTAATTCCCTGCGGTGCCGGCATTGAACCAGCCTCATTTTTCAGCCAACAACAGCGTCTATGTTGGACCAAAAAATAGATCGATACACACAAATAAATATGCCGGTCATTGGCGGCGCCTCCACCCTCCCCACTCCCGTGCCAACGGGATGACAACTTGTCGTCTCGTCACTGGGGCGTCTGCCTGTGACAGGCGATGTTTTAAAGCCACTGTGCCGCAAGTTTGCGAAGCATTGGCAATTTGTCAAGCGGCACGGCAAGGAACGGGAAATGGCCCATTGGCAGCTTTAAGAACGCTTTAAGGTAATCAAAAAGGGCACTTACCTGGCAACTGCAGGGCTAAAAACTAAAGAGCCCGCTCCCCGGGAGCGACCATTCATCATACGTTACCTGCAAGGCAAAAGAAAATAATTGAAAATTCATTTAATTTCGTATAGACAGGAGAAAAAACACAGCTACAGTCATCCAGCGGCAAATGCAAATGAGCCGAAGGACTGTGACGGCATCGGAGGATTAAGATGCATCTCAGCCAGCCTGGCCACATGTGTTGTGCACGCCCCAGTCCCCGGCCCGCCCTCTCTGCCCAGCTCACCCTCTCTCTCTCTCTCTCTCTCTCTCTCTCTCGGTATGCTGAGCGATCTTGTGCATTTGTTTCGGGCTGACACAAGAAAATGTTTTTCGTTTTTGATTGATTGCCCAGAAAAACCACTTGAAACTGTCACGGGCGGCAGGGGTGAGAGGGCCCGGGGATATGTTATATGGGATATGGGACATGGGATATGGGACATTGGACAGCGAGTGAAGTGAAAATCACTTCCACACACACGCGTACGTTTTTCAAATGAAAAACTACTTATGGATGCTGTCTGTCTATAAGTAAATACACAATACGACTTAATAATAAAAAGATGAGCAGAGGAGGCGGGACGGGACGGGGCGGGGCGGGGCGATCGGGAAATGCTCAACTTTTGATGCCACTTCAAGCTCTGAGAAAGACAAGACAAGTGTTCGCGGAGATATTCCCCAAAGGGATCTTCAAGTGTCTGCAACAAGGGAATTCTTAATCTTATAATAAAGTAGAAATCGAGTTTTAATTATGTGCAAACATAAAGTTCAAAAACGAATTAATTCGATTCAAGTGAATTATAAACTGAAAACAGATTCAGGATTTCCTAACTATTTTAAGACTTTAATTATATTCAAAAAATGTTTCCTGCCTCTTGTGATTCAATTCCGCTTGCAAACGTGGAAAATTGTCGGAAAACGAAACAACAAATTGATTTATATCATACAAATATATAGTCCGTAACGAGTTAATATCGGATAAAGCGACAAATGGGGCTGGATATGGAAAACTGTCTTAATCTCAGAAAATGATTTTGAAACGAGGCCAAGCAGATAAATCTGAATTCTTTGGCATCTTGGGAATATTTCAAATTTGTCAGATTCTCATCAAATTGTTTAGTTTCTAATTAAAAGCCAATATTAATCGGTATCGGAAGGAGATAAAAGAGATTGAAAACAATTCCTCTAGGAATAAAAAGCCCTTTCAAACTTTCTTCAAATATTTACATATAAATTGAGGGGCATTGGGAAAAGCTGGCGATTGTCCTTGTGGCTGGGCGAGCTCTGCTCCCAAAAAAAGAGAAGCAGCCGCCCGCTCCCGCATGACTTCAGCTTGTCGGCCAACTATTGGCACGTTTTTTACAAAACACACACACACACACGCACAACAGACCAAGCGACCAAAGGAGAGGCGAGGCGAGGCGGAGTGTAAGAGAAAGACAGCGAATAATAATCTACGAAAAATAAATTTATGTGCATTTCCGTTTTTGTTTTTTCCTTCCGTTTAAGTAAATAACAAATATTATTATCGCTTGGCCACAGCGCAAGGAGCCAAAGGACATGACAGGACGGCGTGGTCGGAACCCGGTCCACAAAAAGGCAAGCCAAGTTCTCATTGAAGATAGTTCGTCAGTTCAGCGACAACACAAAGTAAATAAAATGTGCACAACTAGCAGCAGCAGCAGCAGCAACAACAACAATCACAAAAGCCAGGCAAACAACAAAAACAACAAAATTAAATAATGCCACAAACGATTTCTTATGAAATGTTCAAAAATATACAACACCCCGATAACATCGACAGCGGCACACACAAACACACACACACACACATTCCATCCGGCATGCATTGGGGTAGGGGGCGCTGCGAGTGGGGGCTGTGTATTGGGAGTCGGAACGGAAGCCGCCGCCGTCGCCGTCGTCGAGCTCTACAAACAGCAATAACAACAACACGACTCTGGCCTCAACATACACAACCCAGCAAATAACAGCAACAACAACAAACGAGAACAACAACAGCAACTCAATGAAATTATTAATGGTCGAAAACTGCAGTTCAGCTCGGCAAGTTGGTGACCAAATGGTCAGCACACGACGCCTCGGCCCAGGAGCAGGAGCACACACACACCGCACACACCGCACACACATATACACAGAGTCCGGGGCAGCGAGGCAAATAAATAAATAAATAAACAACAAACTCTAATTAAACGTTGTTTCGAGTGTGTCGGCATTTCGATAACGAACAGAAAGAAGGAACCTGGCCCAGCCCGGCGTCCTGTGGCCAGCTTCAGCTTCTGTGGCAACGCGCTTTATCGGCCTGCTCCCAGTCATCCAGGAGGCAGCCCAGCAGCAGCAGTGGCCACTGGCGCTGGCCTTTTGCTTGTTAAAACTTGCCAAAAATGCAATCTGTTTGCCCAAAAGCCAAACAATGAAAGCAACAACAAGCTGATAATCAAAGTGCAACAATTTGCGCTCAAGGTCGTGCGCAATGTGGCAAAACGAATACGGAACAACTATGCAAAAAAAGGAATCAACAAATTCTCATAAAAATATTGTAAATCGAAAAATATCGCAGCATAAGAATACGGGCTCAAATCTAAGTTTAGTCGCTGCTAAAGCAGATACTTAGTTGAAGCGAATGCTCAAAAGTTGACAAAGTTGCGTAGTTCAAACTAATTACATATAGCGTATATCGTATGTCGTATATCGTATATCGTATATCGTATCTTAAAAGATGCAATCAGTCAGGAAACTGGAAAACGAGTGTCTGGATCTGAATCTCGATCGAATGCAAATCATTTCAAGTAAAAGCTATTCTTAGCTAAAAGAAACCAGAATACAAACAAATATTAATAACTGGGTCTATAAGTTTTGCAGATCAGCTTCTTCAGCTGCTGCGGCAGCGTCAGGATCCTGGCAGACCCCATGATATACCTTGCTTGTAAGTAACCTTCAAGGCAAATGCCATTGTAATCTCTTAACCTGGGCTAAGAATAGATCGACAAATAATAATAAATACTTAGTACTTAGCTTCATCGTAGACGCAATCGATTTGTATCTTTGTGAGAAAGTTTAACGAGAACTATGCATAAAATAATTATCTTCTGTTTAGCCAAAGCTTTTAAATGTTAATGTGATTAAGAAGAAGATTATTATTGATGTTTTGTGACTTCATATATCGATAATCAATGCGAATTGCAAATTTAGGCAATTCGATAAGTTCTTAGAGCAACAACAACTCTTTGCATAATGAAAGCAACGCTCGCCAAAAAGTAATTCAGCTCGGCAACTGATGTCACATTCAAATGCGGATCGCCAGCTCGACTGACCCGAATGACCTTTAGCGCGGAAATGCTGCCAAACCGGCTAACTGGCTCTGACTAACTAACCGAGTAGCCAGTTGCTCAGTTAATCTCCCGAAAATGTAACATTTTTTTTTTGTTTTTTTTTCTCATTTCATTTTGAATTCTTTTTGTTTCTGATTTTTTTGTCAAGGGAATTTGCATAACAAAAGCGGCTTCGAATCGAAATTTATAAATTGATTTTATTTGGCAAATGCAAAAATGTTGCAGGCTAAAAATACAAATGGAAAAAAAAAACACACACACAAAACAGAGAGAACAGGCAGAAGCGAAAAGGGGTGAGGGGAAGTGCTCAGGCACTTTGAGACTTTTGAGTTCAGGACTTGCTGTTGTTGTTGTTGTTTGAGCTGGGAATTATTACATTTTTAATGCTGGCATTTACGTCAAATTAAATTTAATTGTCATTTCCAGCGAGCGAAAACAACAAATCGCAATAAGTATAAGGGGGGTGGGGCAAAGAGAGAGAGATACGGCCGAAGGACCGAAAAAGGTACGGAATATAAGACTTTCAGATACAAATTTGTTGCCTGTGACGTCATTTTCAGGTTGTTAAACGCATTTCCTAATTATCAATAGTCATAAATTTGATTTTTGGTAGCGCTACGAGCTTTAATCGTAAGCGCTGCCATAAACTTTGGATTGGCATTTCCCCTGCACCGCATTGCACTCTCGCTCTCCACTTGCCATAAAATGAGAGGGGCGCGAGAGCGCAGCGCAGCGCAGAGCAGCTCATTTCCCCTGCCAATTACAACAGCACACAGCGAGCTTACAGCGGCGCAACGTCGTAAATGTGGCTGCTATTGTCATCTCGCTCTGTCTGCCGAGGCTTGACGTACTGACGGGGGCTGTCACTTGGGTCCCGCCACCATTATGGAAAGTGAAATGGATATATTGCTAATGCGCCTGCACATAACAAGGTCGGCAATAAATCAAATGGGCGAGCGGGCAAAGGGGAGGCGTTGCACATACAAAAAAAAAAAAAAAAAAAAATACACGGAACATTGGCTGGACGGCGGCGGCGGCGTCGACGTTTGACAAAAATCAAATCAAAATGCCATAAAATACCCCAATGCTGGGCAGCTCCGTGGCCAAGGGAATGGAACTGGCAGGCAGCAAGCCGGGCCTATGCTTTTGGCCAAACAACAAATGAATTATATGCAATTAATTGAGCGCAAATTTGCAAAATACTTTCGTGTGTCTGCGCCTGTAGCCGACCGTGTTGGGTGTGTGTGTGCGTGTGCGTGTGGCCGATTATAGCACGATATGATGATGGATATGCCCAAAAACGGATACTCTGCCGTAGATTGCGTATGCGCCCCATATGCGCTGCATTTCTGCATGGTTTATGTTTTCGTTCCAAAAACATTGAGCAATCGACTAAAACAAATTTAAGTGGCATTGCTCGACTCTCTTCTTATCAAATATACATTACTAAAAAAAGTACCTGCAGTTGATTTAGTGCCACAAGAAATTACAAAATCTGTGTATAACTTATGCGAGGCAGCATAATTTGTTGTCAGCTAGCTGGTAATATATATTTTGAATGGAATCCCATGAAAAATAGTTGAGCCATTTAATTATTCAACAATAAACAATTCATACGTCAATGAACAAATATGTCACATTAAAAGTGACTATAAATGAATTTATTGTAGAATTCCGAAGCATTAAATCTTCCTCTATGAAGGTGTCGTCCCTTATATCCTCTACCCGATAATTTCATTATAAATAATGGATAAGCAGAAATCTTTCCACTTTTTCACGAAAGTTGTTTTCTAAATATATCCTTGGTATTGGAAAGTGCGAATGAAAATTTGTACTGGGGACCTTATACTAAGAGGGACGTTGCAAAATTAAACCAACTCCCTTTAACTTTGTTAACAGAGTATTTATACAGCACAATATAAATAATACATTTTTCCAAATTATTTAAGAAGTTGTTTTTTATACTGCAATTGCATTCCGACATCTTTTCATTTGCTCAAATGAACTAAACTGACTCAAAAATCTATATAAGTAAAACAGTTTATCGCGAATGATTAAGGAGCTGACTAACTGAACAATTGTTGATAGGAATCGGTTACATAAAAGAGTTTACCATCGAATTAGCCCTACTACTTATGATTTTCTATGATTATTGGGAAATTTATTTGGCAGCGGTTTCCAACTGAGAACTAGGACAAAATGAGCGAAAGTTCAGTTATCCCCAATTAGCTTTAACCACATTTTTAAAACAAAACATCATAATAATAATTTATAAATCAATTTTAAATTTGTCAAATCCACTTTGATAAGTACAAATAAGAGTTAAGGTGCCAGAAAAAAACAATTTTTTAGAGATAAAAACAAGACCGGGTTATACAAAACGCAAACCCAATGTATTTCTTTATCGCACACATCGATCTAAGAAAATGTATTTTTGATGCCTTACTATGCGATTCTCATGAATTCAGGTTGTGTTAGCAGTCTAGTCAGCTTAATCCATGCCTTAGCTGTCACTCTAAATTACTTTATTTCTCTCTTTTGTCTCCTTTTATTACTGTATATATAAATACATGACAACTGTGAATAAATAAGATCATATGTTAGGGCAATTCAGACCCACGCCGGGTTATCTTCTAGCTTCTTTATGTTTTCAGTCACTTTATTATTATGATTATAAACTTCCCCCAAAGTTGATGTTTTCGTGACTTCATAAAGTAGTCTATAAATTTCGTAAGGCGATTCCACAGTTTCATCGGCAATGTTTGCCCAACTTTCTCGTCGTGTGTGCTCCGTGCCGCCCTAACCTAAGCGCGTTGAGAGGAGTATTTTACGATTTTTATATAGCCCATTGTGCATTACATTTACATTAACCGATCATATTTTCACTAGAGCATTTTACGAGCAACAAATTGCGCTACAAATTACACGATAAATAGTAAATTATGACAATCCATGTCGTTGTCTACGGCGACCACAAAAGTTCGACCCCCGACCCTAAGTGGCAGTTCCAGTTCCATTCCGAGTCGACCCTTTCACCGGCCGTGCCACACGAAGCAGGCTCGTAAAAATTCCCAATGCGTCTATTTGATGGCCCAGTAAGTGTTATCATTATGACAATGCTGAGTTCCATTCCGGGCAGTTTACAAGCTGTCAAAGTTGCTTGTGTAAATTAAATTGTAGCTCCTTTTATTGATATTTCATTGCCGCTGGCTGTGATTTGGCCTCGCCCCCCACTCAAATTTTCCAAAAGCAAAAGCCAACACACAACATGGGCAATGGAGAAGTAGAAAATTTGGTACGCACTCAGAAAAGTCGTAAAGTTGCGCACGTCGAAACAAAAGAAAGTTTTTACGACCGTTTCTTTATACAGTTCCCGGCGAACTGCAGAGAACTAGGCGAGAAAAGGCACATAAATTACGTTGGCCTTGCTGTGCACATACATATACCTAGAGGTGCATTTGTAGCTA